TCTTCTTCTTCTTCTTCTTCTTCTTCTTCTTCTTCTTCTTCTTCTTCTTCTTCATGAAACAATACAACAAAAAAAGAAAAAGAAAACGAAGGGACTGGGGAAAGATGGAGGAGCGTACATTGTGGCAAGAAAAGAGCGGGGCACCAGAAGACGATCACAACCATTGTGACAGGTGACCTAAAAACGCAGAGTAAGCAAAATATCATAAGGAAATAATAATTATAATAAAAATAATCTTTCAATAGACATAATTTTATAGAGGTCTAAGACTTTTGGGACCTGTCTAAGATATTTACTTTGATGTCTCCTCGGTAATTCGTGGCCGCCTTGGCCAATTCTGGCAGTGTTATTATTCTTTTTTTTTCTTTCTTTTTTTTTCGATACGTGTAGAAAGTGTTTTCCAGTGCTCACAACTGCATAATAAGGTCGTATGAGCGCGCGGGACACATGAAATATTTTCAGTTTGGTAGTAATTCATTCTGAATTTTGCCCGGGTGGCGACCGAAGCCTACCTCTATCAATTTTGGACCACCAGAGGATCTTAGCGTGGGCAACCTGCACTCGGGATCTCCGATATTTTTTGTCCCTTTTGGAGAAAGACGGCAGTAAAAAGGAGCTAATGGGTAGCAGTAGAAAGGCTGCAGAAAGAGTCAGGAGCCAGAGTAGAGGTGACGGGGTGGGGGGAGAAAGTGGAGACGAAACCAGACAAGCGGACATAATGACAGAGTTAAAGGAGAAAATTTCGGAGAAGAAAAATTTAGTGGCCTACGCGGATTCGAACCCGGGATCTATTGAATGGGAGGCGAACGCAATAGCCTCTTGACCATGAGAGCCCCTGTAATTTTATTCTCTATTAACGTATTAACGTAATACTTCAGTAAACGATGTTTGGCCGAAGTTTGTTATCGAATCTGAACACAACATAAATAATGCGATATGTGTGTTCATTATTGATTAAACATCACATTAACCATGCACCCCGCCTGTCAGTCTGTCTGTTTACCTGTCACAACGCTATTGCGCTCGCGCAAAAGTCTAAGGCTCTTTGATTGAAGCACTCACGCTATGACGTAATCTGACCTATGACCTCATCCTGTCTGGATCATGAATGCATTGAGCGTGACATGCGCATCTTCGGAGGGGATTTTTTTGGTCACATAAAATGATATCTTGAAGGAAAATGTAATCAAGAAGAAGTGCATGAGTGCCAATTTAAGCGTGTGTGTGTGTGGG